TCGTTCGGATATGGGACGAAAAACCGAAGTCCCGGGTATACATTGACTTGCACGTAAAATATCCCTTGGCAGTTAGAATTCAATATAAGAGTAGGCCATAGTGCCGCTGCCCGGGCAAAATTTCCCTCATAGCACACTGTATGGCGTATGCCCGTCCTTTTTTAGCCCAGCCAGGGCAGAACAGTAGGACGTTAAACACCATTTCATTTCTTTCCCAAGTCAATGCGTCCGTTAAAAATGATTCCCGCCTACTGTTGGGGTGTGTTATCGGGTTTATTATTAAGACGAGAGACTATATCTGTGACCTTAGATGACCTTTGAAGAACGGTCTTTTTTTTGCTATTTAATTTATTTCATTCCTGTGGAAGAGGTGCGAAAAAGGCCGAGCAGACCATATGAAGAATTTGTTTGTGGTCAACATCGGATTGTGGAAATCTTTTTCTATTGACTGTCCGGTATGGCGGGAATCTGTACGTCTGCTAGAGTAAATGACTTCTTTGATTTCTTTTTCCGTTAGCCGACAAAAGGGCGGGAAACGGCTAGCAAACGAACATTAGCATGTTTGTGATGACGTTTTGTTCAAAGGCTTTCAACGTTTGCAAAGTGTTTTTTTAAAATATAGAGAGCCCACACTGGCGGTCCGGTGTAGCGCCATATTGACGGCAAATTCTAAAGACCGACGAAAAAAGGGGTTTTGTGGTTATGGTCAGTGTTGATCGACTCGTCGCCATAATTCCTTTTATTTATCAACAATACCACGTGACAGTGACCAATGGTCTTTCCACTTCCATTTTGTTTTGTTTTTGTTATACGGGATATTGTAGTTGGTCGCTATTTTTCACAAACATTTAATAACAACAACATTCATTCACAAAACCAAGAACGCGTATTTTGCTTGGGATTTCACAGGAAAGGGGTCATATTTGTCTTTTTCATTGACCGATTTTTCACAAATATTTTGTAATTTTGTTCAGATACTGCAGTACGTACCAGGGGCGGGTCCAGAGGGAGGGTCTGGGGGTCCAAACCCCACCCTGCTCAGCTACTTAAAAAATTTTTTTAAAACAACTCTATTATGAGAAATGTGTAAGGGTCGTGTGCTTTATCATGGGATGGGATTGGTATTCAAAGCGCGAAATAGTGATATAGACATATTATGTGATATCACAATTAATACTTTGTACCAATGACATTGAATCACAATGTGATCCTATTAATCCATAATAAAAAATTGACATCAAATAGGGTGTTGGGATTTCTCTCTTTAAAAAGCTCAATGTGTATGTATGGCTACGTAACTTTTTTTTTTTTTTTTAAAAAGATAGCGATATTTATTAATCTGTACCTAATATACATTAATTATTCAGTCTACAAAAACATTTCTTGATATATAAATAAAATACAGTAGAATCTGCATTAAGCAGCCACCCAAGGGAATTTTCACAACTGACCGCTTAACGGGAGTGGCCTCTTAATAAAATCTCGTTGCTTTTTGTGCCGACATAAATTAAATATTACGCTTGGATGCATTGGAAGCGGTAAATTTGGCCGTCGCTGAATCTTGCGCCGAACGAAAATTCTTTACTCAAATCTCGGACATAACTTAACGGGAGTGGCCTCTTAATAAATCTCGTTGCTTTTTGTGCCGACATAAATTAAATATTACGCTTGGATGCATTGGACGCGGTAAATTGGCCGTCGCTGAATCTTGCGCCGGACGAAAATTCTTTACTCAAATCTCGGACATAACTTCTGTAAACTTGTCATTTTGTACCAACCTTCGATACTACTGTCTGCCATTGTGATGCATTCGATAATATTTATCCATTTTTGTGAAGAAAATTGATGAATACATTTTATTTTATCAAATACATGTGTAGACAATTATAGTACAATGCAATAAATAACATACTTAAATATATAATATACACTATAGAAAAATGATATTCTTCTTTATGTTTAAAAATACATATAAAATGCAGATCAGAGTATACATGTGCTGCACTTTGTTCCGGGGGGGGGGGGGAGGCTACGTAATTTAGATACGATGATGGCATCATGCATTCTCAACTGTTGAATTTCCATAACAGGGGCCTGGCAAACCCCCTCCTGCAAATATTTCTGGCTCCGACCCTGTGTAAAAATGGTTGCTAAATAGAGGGATCTTTCTGTTATCGTTATTAGATGCTAAATGGACCCTATGGGTGGGGTTTAACGTTCACTCCACACAAACTAGGTCATTTCGGGACTAACATATTGTTCAATTATATTTTAATAATTCGCTTTCGCGTAGTGGTCTTTAACAGTGGGAGAAAACCGGATAACCCGGAGAAAACCCACGAGGTTGGACATGCGACTCTACTCCTTGTCACGTGCAACCAGGGAATCGAAACCACACCAGTTGACTCAATGACAGACCTTATGATACAGCGCGCATGTGTCAACCATTCGGTCATCCCCCCCCCCCCCCCGGGTGTCTTGTTACACTCGAGCAGCTTAGATCGATGAAATTTCAATCTATCATAACTTTGTAAATACTTAATGGAATTGAACCATTTTTGGACTGATATTCCTATTACTATTAGAGATTCAACTTTCACAGTTTGGATTCATATAGGACTACATAACGCACCGAGCCTTTAACCTATGTGGTCGAACACATCCCTTGGAACGAAAAGCGATGGAGGTGCAGGGGGCTGAACACATATTTGCATCTTCCCGCTCCTAGACCCCCCTTGCTCAGCACAATGTATTTGTCATTGATTCATTTAGATCAGAAAAGGCATCATCTAAGTGGGTAAGACGCTGGCTCGCTAGTCTGGAGGTCGGGTGTTCGATCCCTACATTGGCCGAGAAAGTTCATCCAGATTTTCCGGCGTGGTTCCTCCTTGTCAGTGATGCAGGACGGGGGGCCAGACAAGGACAGCTGTCTATTCCTTCGGATGGCACGAAAAACGGAGGTCCCATGTACACATTCGCGTGCACGTAAAAGATCCCTTGGCAGTTGGAATTCGATATAAGAGTAGGCCGCGGCGCCGCTGCCCGGGAAAAATTTCCCCCATAGCACACTGTATGGCGTATGCCCGTCTTCATTAGCCCAGTTTAGGAGCAAAACAGTAGGACGTTAAACCCCATTTCATTTCATTTGGGGGGGGGGGGGTGGATGGCCGAATGGTTAGCACGTGAGTGCTGTATCATAAGACCTGTCATTGAGTCAACTGGCGTAGTTCCGAATCCCCGGTTGTACGTGACAAGGAGTAGGGTCGGCTGTCCAACCTCGTGGGTTTTCTCCGGGTCCCCCGGTTCCCCCCACTGCTAAAGACCCCTACGCGCAAGCGAATCATTGAAATAAAATTAAACCATATGTTAGTCCCAAAATGACCTAGTTTTTGTCGAGTGGACGTTAAACCCCATTTCTCTCTCACTCTCTCATTTCATTTCATTATTTTTAATTCAGTTTATGAAAAACTGGAAATAGTAGAAACTACATTTATTCATATAATTTATTCTGTCGTTTCATTTAAGATATATAATTATGAATAATGAGATTTTCACTTGATGACCGAGTAGATGACATCGAGTTTTCGGTTTATCTGATGACGTAGAGCTTATCTCGTGACGTAAGATCAGATAAGATGATGAAACACGTCTTTTGTCTGGAACAAAGCTACTCCACCCATAGTCTCCATCGCCAGGACTCTTTATACACTAATAAATGAATATTAAAGTAAGCAAAGTCTCCCAGCCCAAAGATAGGATCTTTCAAGTCGCTGTCTACAAGGGCATTCGAATCTTTGAGTAACTATTCGCGTGGAACCTATACCGAATGAGAATTTATTAAGGTCAATTACTGGTAAATGAAGTTAATTTATGAATATATGGTAGCTTGGTGCAGAAAAGAAGGACGTTCAAGCCCATTTCATTTCAAGAACATATTGATACCAGATCGTGCTCACTATTTACCCATCCATTACTAGGAAAAGTCATCATTTTATTTCGGACTTATTCAGGAGAGAGAGAGAGGGAGGTGTCGTCCACTCGGTCCAATGTGCACATTATACCATTCAGCCATCAACCACCTTGTTATCTTATACAAGAAGTTCATGGCAGACTTGAGCATTATTTTCTTTAATTTGTTGAATTATTGACTATTTTTTTATGGCCCTTTAACTATACGACACAGAAAGAATTCTGTTTAAATCTCACTATCAAATTTCAAGTCGTCTTTCTGCGATCACGGATACGTTGTATTAGCTACACAAGAAGTATCAAAGCATTCAAAATATTTCGATCCCATATGCCGTAATGTACCACAGGGCTTACTTCTGGGACCATTTTTTAAAAACATTGTTTCAATGACCTACTTTGCGAAGGTTTCGAGCATGCTTTAATGGGAAATTCGTATTTGTTTGCTGTGCTAGATATCATACCCCGGCACCAGCAATTTCAGACGCGTGTCCAGGGGGTGGTGGATGAGGGGTGGGCAGGGGGTCTGGACCCAACACCCCTGCTGGCGGAGAGAATATCCTCCACCCCCTACACTCATGGAAATCCGCTGGCTGACTAAACTGTAAGCTGACTAAACTGTAATCCTATATTCACCCACAGGATCAGAAGTACTGTCTCCAAGCTTCTGATTTTATGAAATTCGCAGGTAGTTTCCCCCGACCTAACGCCAAGCTTGAAATTGTCTCCATTTTGGACCCCCCCCCCTCGCCCCTGCCCCACTGCTCAGATCCCTGGACACGCCCCTGTGAAATTACCCCTGTGCTAGTCTCAAAATAACCGAATTGTTTGGAGAGATGCTATACCTCGTTCATTTCGAAATGGCTCCACGACAAAGAAATGTCTCAAAATATCTCGGTTGGCGAGATTCACATCGCCACGATGGCGCTACAAGAAGCTACATATTCAACATGCGTTTGTCGGCTTGTGATTACCAGATACAAGGACGGCGGGGGGGGGGGGGGGTAAATATTTTTGTTTAAAAAAATGCGAACTTGAAGCCCCATCATGATTTTATTATAATATGCATGAGACAGTTTGACAATAACATGCAAATAGCAGTGGATCGTGATTAAACAGAAACTAGTAAACAAGACGCGAGATTTTCTCTTTTTTGAACAATCTACGTAGTTGTCCATAAGCATGTGGAATTATGCTGGTCAATTTTTTAAACCAAATGGCTGACGTCAATAAGATATGGCGACAAAATAATGTTTTTAAATTTGATAAAAAAAAATCAGTAATTTATAAATATTTGTATTAATAGTAAACCCACTTTTTGCCATTTTCCAGTCCTTTACATATAAATAAAATAATATTTAGACTGGTTTCTCTTTGCTAAATATTCTAAGATCTCTGGGTAAACAATTGAAATTAGAAAGGTTTTAATCACAATTCTTTTTATTTTGTCAGACGCAGTCCACTAGTCCTGGGGCAGCCCACTGAAACTAAGTTTTCGCAGAGCATGCCAGCGTATAACCTTGTTTTGGGTGTACACACAAGGTATTTCACTATATAATATATTCAAAACCATAAGGGTTCATGTACCATAATAATTACAGGCTCACAGCGGTCTTCAACTAGTGGGCTCATTGATGAGTTCGGCCATAGGGCCCAGAATAGGTTAAATCCGACCACGAGTAGAAATCCTTCTGAAACCCAACTTTAGTAACATTTCCGACTTGAGTTGGACTGGACTGACATGTTCCACTGTATAATAATAATAATAATAATATATGAAAGTGTATAAGTTAGAGATATTTAATAGGCTATATATACATATAATATATACAAACATTATAATAACACGTATATTTACACATATCACAGTTTCTTGAGTACATTATATATTTACATATTTACAACACGACTAAATCTATTTGTTAAGGCCGGCTAAATCTATTTGTTAAGGCCAGCTCAATTTTTGTAAAGGTCGCTGAGATGTAAATGAGGTTAGGGTACGTGATTGTTGGCGAGATTGTAGGTTAGGGTTAGGGTAAGCACTGGGGCTAGGTCCAGGGTTAGGGTTGGGATTAGCGCTAGCCCTGTTTATATCTCGTGACGTATGACGAAAAATTAAGCTGACCTTATTATTTAGAACTAACCCAGTCAACACGCCGTCTTCATTTGCCCAGTCGGAGCAGAAAAGTAGGGCTAGTAATGTTAAACTCTTAAAAACGTTGTAGTAGAGCATTGGCGTTATAGCATATATGTCTGTAGACAGTCAAATACGGCTATAACAACGCACTATGCTAGTAATATTAAACTCTTATAACGCTGTAGTAGAGCGTTGACATTATAGCGGGGCTCAGCAATACGTCAAGATACTAAAACTGTCCTATTAGATAACGCGTGGCAGAAAGTACCACACGCATTTCAAATACTATCTAAACTTTAGCATGTTTTTCATAAAACGCGCAGAGTACAAGACAGTTAAGTATGGCTATAACAACCGCGTTATAACTGATGCTATTTAGGTAAACACTTAATGTTTCATTTGTATAGAAACGAGTAGAAAATATTCCTACGTCGAATCATTCAATTTATTAAATTTAAACTGTTAAAACACAGTGTGGCATTATAACTTCACTCTGCTGTAACTTAAAGTCTCTACGCGTCAATGGAGGGTCGAAGAACCCTGAAAACTACAATATTGTGAACGGGGAATTTCTAAAAAAAAGTGATTCAGTGTCATTCAGTATTTACAAAGATATAAAGAATTTAAAATGTATCAATATTTGACATCCCAAGTCAGCGCCGTTAAAAATGAGATATTTAACAAAAATACAATTACCGCGCAGAGACTTTAATATTAACTGCAATATTACGTATTACGTCACCCGTGACCCTTTGTTTAGATTGCATCAGAAATGTTTTATATTTTCATTCTTCCTTATTTTTTATTTTTAAAAACTATTATAGCAAGAACAGCCAGCTCTTTATTTAAATCTTCCATAATGCATCTTTAATTCGAATAAGATCTGTCTTCACAATGTAAATAAATATTTGCAGATATAACGTACAAAATAATATGTAGTATACATATCATAAAAACCCCTTAAATCAAATGAATTCAAAGGTTAAATTTTATCGACTGTGTGATCATTTAATAGTTTTAGCAGTAAAATAATTTCAAATCAGAGAACGTATCAAAATGGATCTCTGTTTTACCCGAAAGGATGAACAAAATAGATCTCTGTTTAAAACCAGCTCTAATGTTGATTTAATTGAGAATTTATAAAGGGTTGAATAATCTCTTGGGATATGTCGAACAGTACAACGTTTTCTATATATATATATAGTTAACAAAACAAATGACGTAATAACATGGTGCCAACAGTGCTCGCTCTGGTCAGGCGTAAAACACTAGATCTTTTGATGACGTCATGATGTCCTGTAGTTATCGTCTGCTATCAGTAAGAGATTTGTTATTTGCCGTTAAATCTGGAGTCAAACGTCTGATCTTTCGTCTGATGATCACCACACACTGTGTAAGGCAACCTGATACAAATCTTTGTTTGGGGTACGCAGTAATCCTCTGTAGTGAAAAGGATTTTCTAATTGAAAAAACCTCGAGAACGACCCCACGTGTTTATAATCCCGCTCCCGCCATTAACTCGCGCATTGTGTTGTCAAGTAGTCGGTAAAAAGCGCCACTTGTTGGTTAATACGTCCACTTGACTCTCGCATATTATGTCTCGCACAATCTCGTGTAACAATAGTGATAATAGGACGAGAGTTTAACGTCAGGCGCCGTCGCGTTCTTAATTCTCTTTATCTCTTTCTTCTGTATTTCAACTGGGGCATAAACTTGATTAACATTCTAACACAGCTCTATATTTCATTTTAATGATCCACGCCATACGCCGCCATCTTAGATTTAACATGTATAAAAGACAGAAATAAAATAACTAACCGCAGACTGCTACAATCATTCATGTCGTCACTGTTATCAAGTCTCACATGTCAATAAAATTCATTGATAAACTAAACGACTGGATGATAAGGAATCAGTTAATAAAGATAAGGGCAATTCACATAGTGTCGACATTTGGCGGTATTTCGTCTCCGCTGTGGCGACTTAACTGATGAAGTTCGATAAGAACTAACGTTTCCCGCCCAAATAATCGCCTCGTCTGCCAAAACTTCAACCAGAATTAGTCTGAGAAGAATGGAAATTCAAAGTTGTGGAAATGAAGCATTTATAAGAATTTGGCGAATGTTCATTAATTCCCATTAGGTCGGTTGTGTGTATCTAAAACGATATAAGATAGATCAGTGGCACCGAATAGCTTCTTCTTCTTTCAACAAGGGAAATAAATCTAATTAGCACGCTAGATGGCAGCACTGAAGATATTATCCACGTCAATTAGTTCCACTGTTGAAATAAATGACAGTTTTTATTACACAAACAATTCAATTCAAAGCTAAACCAAGTTCTGTTTGCTTGTTATTACACAGATAATTCAATTCAAAGCTAAACCAAATTCTTTTTGCTTGTTATTGTGGATGATTTAATTAACAACCCGTTAAAATGTCTTCCCTGAGTCAAAAATACAATCCACTGTTTAAGAGTCAAAAAAAACAATCCATACAGCACTGGTATCTCACTAGAGTCAAAATACAATGGGCATTTATTTATCTCACATTTTAGGTCAGTAAAACCGTAATTCACTGTGCAAAGTCAAAACGGGTTCAGTGTACAAATTCAGAACTCAGTTCAATGTATAAAGTCAAAATTGAGTTCACCATACATGGTCAGAATTAAGTTCACAAAAGAGAGTCAAAATGTTATTTTATGAGTCAAATACAACTGTACTATATTTAGTAACATACAATATGAACTCTGTTCAAATTTCCCAATCTGCCGTAATGTTTAATATTCAAAATATTTCGCCTGATCTCGTTTGAGTTCAGCAAAATGAGTGCATCACAAATTGTATTTAGTCACATCACAACCATTTGGGTGTATTTCGTACTTCACATATCTACAAGTCATCAAGAACGTTGTAAAATGTTCACGTCATCAAGAACGTTGTAAATTGTTCACGTCATTAAGAACGTTGTAAAATGTTCACGTCATCAAGAACGTTGTAAAATGTTCACGGAAACTGTACATCTTGTGCCATGCATCTACATTTTTTAATTCTCATAATCCGTTTACGTTTGAATCTCATGCCCTTTTTTCCAGGGCAGCGCAGCGTCACAAGAATCCATCGATATTTACGGGGCTTGCAGAATCCACATGACATAAATGCTGTTGGTTTGTCGTCGGATTTGTCCGATTTGGGAATAAAGAAGGAATTGCATTGCCCATAACAAAAACTGTTAATAACGGTCGTCCGTAAACAGCCCTTTTCCCGTATAATTTGTTTCAACGGTTGGGTTTTACACCATTCTTTACGTAAATAGGTCTTCTTGGTTACGACAACGGCTTTACGACTGCCGCGAATTGCCGAGTTTTGTTTACGTGATGACTTGGTTGCTCCGAATGGTCGGAATATCGGATTCGTGCTCCTTGTCGGTCTCGTTGTTGTCGATTCATTTCCTGGAAACCGTAAGAGACCTCTATTTCTGTGACGACGAAGTTGTTTCCCTTCGATACGTCGACATTCACACACCGCCAGACATAACAGTAAACCAACCACAACACAAGTTACAAACCGTCTTTGGTCATACATCATCTGAAAAGATCGAAAATATAAATCAGTGATTTAATAATAATATGTATACATAATGCGCTATACTCCATCTATAAAAATGCATGCATGGATCTCACAAAAAGTAACTGATTTGGATAAAATAGTTTGAATAAACAAGTCTTTAGCTGTGAGCAGGTAGGGGTGGATGGCCAAATGGTTAGCGCGTCATTGAGTCAACTGGCGTGGTTTCGATTCCCCGATTGTACGTGACAAAGAGTAGGGTCGCCTGTCCAACCTCGTTTTTTCCCGGGTCCTTCGTTTTCCTCCCACTGCTAAAGAACTCTACGCGCAAGCGAATTATTGAAATAAAATTGAACTATATGTTAGTCCCGAAATGACCTAGTTAGACAGGCATCTCCATTCCTTGTCACGGGGGAATCGAAACCACGCCAGTTGACTCAAGGACAGACCTAATGATACAACGCACACGCGCAAACCACCCCCCTTCCCCAAGCCTAAAGGCGCCGAAAAGGATGTGTGTTGAAATAGCGAGGTCCTGTGCGCAGAATGACGTGAAAGATTAATTTGAATACGAAGAGAATTCGATGGAAACGCCACTATCCGGGCAGAATTATCATCCTACCATTAGCCACGTAACCATAGATACTGAAGTCTGGATATAACAGACGTGTGGTGTTGGCGAGGTGTTACGCTCATTTACATTTTCAAAATAAAATCACCATGTGTTTGCCACCATATAGCCCGGTTGGAGCTGACGTGCATTTCAAAATAAAATCACCATGTGTTTGCCACCATATAGCCCGGTTGGAGCTGACGTGCATTTCAAAATAAAATCACCATGTGTTTGCCACCATATAGCCCGGTTGGAGCTGACGTGCATTTCAAAATAAAATCCAACCTATCTACAGTGCAGTGCTAATGGCAAGGTTTGACGAAACCATTAATAATACTTTCTCAGATCGGCCTGTCACGTGTCTGTGCAGGAATAAATAAACAGATAGAAACTATAAAACCACATCAGTCTTGATAATCTGTACAATAATAAAACCTGACTAATTCCATATCATGTTGAAGAGATTAGTTCGATTATCCAGTGTAATTCAAACCCCCTTTATCTCCCCGCAGGCCGTTAATCACATCCCAGTCGGCAGAATTATCATATCACAGTCATTCGAATTAACATATCGTTTATTTACAGAGCAGAGAACTTATTCTCCAATTTGTATCCAAAATGATACCGACGAAGACGCTTCGCGATGTGTCAAGCCCCGGTATTCATTCATCAGGGCTAAATGATCTCTAGGACGCGGAAATGAAATGAAATGAAATGGGGATTAACGTCCTACTGTTCTGCTCCGAACTGGACTAATGAAGACGGGCATGCGCCATACAGTGGGCTATGAGGGAAATTTTGCCCGGACAGCAGCACTACGGCCTACTCTTATATCGAATTCCAACTGTCAAGGGATCTTTTACGTGCACGCCAATGTGTACACGGGACCTCGGACAGCTGTCCTTGTCAGGCCCCCCGTCCTGCATCACTGACAAGGGGGAACCACGCCGGAAAATCTGGATGAACGTTCTCGGCCAATGCAGGGATCGAACACCCGACCTCCAGGCTAGCCAGCCAGCGTCTTACCCACTTAGCCACCGTGACCCCCTCTAGGATGGCAGATACGCCACTGTCTGGGAAAATATATCCTCTGTCGCTTCGCATGCGTAACCACAGAAACAAAATTGTTAGTTTAAAAATGAAATAGAGTTTAACTCCATTTGTTCTGCCCCGAACTGGGCTAATGAAGACGGGCATTCGCCATAAAGTGTGCAGAGTAAAATTATGCCCGGACAGTGGCGCTTTGGCATACTCTTTTATCGAATTCCAGCTGCCAACGGATCTGTAACGTTCGCGCCAATGTTTACACGGGTTCTATTTTTTTGTCCCATCCGAACGACTATACGTTGTCCATTACCAGGCTGTCAGTCCTGAACCACTGGTTATATGTTGACAAGACACGGCATATGGTCACAAACCTTTTTTTTCTTTAACCCTAGCCCAAAGAACTCCTGCTGCCACATAGTGACGGGTCGTATTCAAAATTCAAAGCAATATTTTAAAATCAAACCCAGTTTATCAAACCATCTGGACATTTTTAATCAACCCAAAAGTTTTGAAGGCTAAAAATTTGGGTCGTCATCAAATATTTTCGAGAAAAAAACCCCCGACGTATGATGGGTGTCTGTACATGTACTAGATGAGGCTTTGATCATACATCAATTAGTTTATCATTTTAATTGAATTTTAAAATTTCACATGAAAATTGATAACACATCAGAATCGTGGTGGTCCTGCGATCCTACAGAGTTAGTAGTAACATATAAAGATAGTATGCACCCTGTGCATAACTTTGATAACTGATAACTGATACCTCCGCGAGGCACCAGTCGCGGTGGTCCTGCGATCTTACGAGGCTGGTGCACGCCGCAAATAACAACCAACTACAACCATGCAACTTTGCAATGTCGAAAATTGATACCTCAGCGAGGTGGTTCCGCGATCATACTAGGTTGGTACACGCCGCAAATAACAACCAACTAGAACCATGCAACGTCACAATATCGAAAATTGGTAGAAGGGCATCATTCGTGTAGTCATATACGAAGCTGGTACAAGCCGCAACAAACAACTTATACTAAACATCCACCCCGGTAGCGCCCCCCACCTCCACCTCCAGCGCCGCCACCACCATATATGAACGTTTCCGTGGACATATAACAGCAAACTTCATGGAAGCATTTCCTTCCGGTAAAATCAAATGTGGTCCAAAGCTTATACCTTAAAGAGGTCACTCGTGGCAGTATTCAGATCATACGATGCCACCGGACTGGTCCAATACAGGAGCATAACCGAAACATTGTTAGCTATGTAAACTAACTTCTCAAATAAAAAGTGGTCTCAGGTGTTCCAGAAAGAGTTGTCTCTCACACGACACCCTTCATTAAATATAGCTAAATAAGGCTATAGATCGGACCTGAATTTCAGAAACGGAAGCAACTGGGTAGAAGAGTTGGCATGTCTACGAAAGTAATAGCGACCAACTTCCCAGAGAAATGAAAATGAAATGAAATGGGGTTTAACGTCCTACTGTTCTGCTTCTATACTGGGCTAATGAAGACGGGCATACGCCATACAGTGTGCTATGAGGGAAATTTTGCCCGGGCAGCGGCACTATCGCCTTCTCTTATATCGAATTCCAACTGCCAGGGGATATTTTACGTGCATTCCAATATATACACGGGACCTCGGTTTTTCGTCTCATTCGAAGGAGTAGACAGCTGTCCGTGTCAGGTCCTCCGTTCTGCACACATCCCAGAGAGGGTGACGTAACACTGCCTTGACAAAATACGCCAGTGGTTGTTTTATTATTCATAAACGCATCAGCCGGTAACAAGAATTGTTCTTCTGAACCCGTAATGCGCCCTACAGTGTACTTTTGCTCGGACAGACAGACACGTATTCACCTACTCTTCTTTAAAGTAGCTAAGTCTCCAACTCAATATCATCCAAAATCTTCAACATTGAAAACACGAATTATTTGTCAATTTAAATCAACATTGATGTTGTGATCTTACCGGGAAAAGATGGGCTTCTGATATCCAATATTTAAGACAAAATAAACATTTTACCATTGGTACACGAATCGTGTACCATAATGCGCTTCAGCCCCAGTTGTATCAGGAGACTCGAGTGACGAGGCTAGACACGTTGCACCAAATCAAACGGCGTATGTAGACTGGAAAAACCAGACGCTAGAAATTTGCACTCGCTTGAGACTGCTGGCTTATTTCGCCTAACATAACTGATTTGAAATTGGAGTAAAAACGGAAACCATTGAATGTAAATCAGTTTATATACATTCATATTACAGTATTATATGCGTTGCGACCCACTTTTGTCAATTTCTAGGTCCCAAATGTTAGCGATTTAGCTCCTTTAAATTTGTACTGCCATGGGCTATTTTATAATATGTACAAAGGACCTCGGTTTCTCATATCTTCCGATCGACCAGATGACGTTTTTTGCCAGGTTCTTCCTCCTTCAAAAAGGGATCCGGCCTGGAAAATTCCATTTATCGAACACGTGACCTCCTGGTTAGCGAGCCAGTGCTTTACTCGCTGGGCCACCGTCCATAGCGCCCGTGTTAGTTCGAATAACTCATTCGGAGTAGACTTGACATTCAAGCCTATGAATTTCATTCATGGTGTTCAGCCTTCTCAGTTTGCTTGATAAGCATTTATAAATAATTTATGAGTAACACTAATGGGAATATATATCTATCTTTAAAAGAAAATAAAAAGGGCAAAAAAACATTTCACTTGCAAAATTATACTAAAAACTTCACACCTCAAAACACCTATCGATTCAAACTTTCTTTAACAGCCAGGGGGGGCCAATTTTAAAATTAAAATCGGAGAGAGTTATAAACAACCTGACAATCTTCCCGTATCGCGTGTCAGATATCCTCCGCGTATTTATAAAATAAACCAAAATAATATACTACTTTATCAAATTTGTTTAAATTACCAAATTTACAATTTCTATCTTAAAATAATAAACAGATTTCTCCCTGACCTGGAAAACCTCTATCAAGACTTCCGTCTTCCACAGTTAGTAAAATTATCAAGAAATTAAGATAATAACTAATATTTTTTTATCCAAAAAAATGAGTTTGTGAAAAACATCGTCTAATGGATATTTAACTGTGTTGATAAAATACACAGTAAAAATAAAACTGATACGCTTTACGTGTTTGATCAATCAAGTTGCGTGTGGTTCGGTCATGCGTGTGGTTCGGTCATGAGTATGTTTTTTGTGGGTTTTCTTGTGCATTGGACGCGTGGATGAATCCCCCAGAGCTGGCTAATATTACAGTTCTCTCAACTCAACATCCCGAAACTTTGTGTTTCATAAACAAACTCTTGATCAAATTGCTTTAAAAAATGTCGCCGTCCTAATACAGAAACCAAACGGCAAAAATTGCCATTGTTGGTAAGGAATTTCCGAATTTGTCCACGATCCCCCGTCCCTCCAACATTCAACTTTAAAGGACATAAAGTGAAATGGCATGTGGTTTCATATCTTATCTTCCTGAACCACCAGGGCTCTTAAGGGAAATTTCAAACACCAAAATATGGTCGCCCCGGGGACTACGAAAACTAATGCATACATAAAAAGCAAGAACAAGCTATGTTAAGTTTGATTCTAATAAAAGGCACGGAACTAGTGGAAATGTGCAAGAAATAAAACGTCCACTTACGCCACTGTTCTGGCTAAATTCTCATCATCGCGTCGCACTGTACGCGAGTAGTATTGCTCTCACGACAATCTCAACATTCTCTTCTGAAAACGGCGATTCCGTGAAGCATACGCTGGTTTAATAACCAAGCAGTTTCGGGTTCGATCCCGTTTAAACAAGCTGTTTCGGGTTCGATCCCGGTTAACCAAACTGTTTCGGGTTCGATCCCGGTTAACCAAGCTATTTCGGGTTCGATCCCGGTTAACCAAGCTGTTTCGGGTTCGATCCCGGTAGGGACGGAGAAAGATCTTCGCATCTGTCAGCGTGTTTCCCCACGTCGTTCGGATAAAAGGAAAAACCTAAAGCCGTGCAAACACTGGCATGTACGTAAAAGAATCCTTGGCAGTTGGAATTCGATGAAAAGTAAAAGAAAACGCCCGTCTTCGTTATCCCTGATTGGTGCAGACAAAATAGAGAGTTAAATTCCGTCAAAAACAAGGAAACAGAAATTATATTTTTTTCAATTTTACTAAATCCCCACAAGTATTTAAATAAACGTTTCTTTGTTTGATTATTCGCGTGATTTAGAGGAGGAAATATATCGTCATTATAAAACATGCACGTGCTTGTATAAAAAGCTATTCAACTGAGGGGATTTCATCAAATCCATTTCAATAAAGGTCCCAAAGCTGTTAAATTACTATTATTTATTATTTAAAGACTGTACAACCAATCATATTATTACGAAATCAAATAATGAATATTCATGAATTCAACTTTTCCTTCAGTGACATGTATCGTGTTTATTTTCAGTTTAATATGTGTAAATTACGAAGGAAATCGCGAAATTAATTGTTTTGTTCAGCCCGTAGTTCTAATTCTACGGAAAATATTGGGCGCTGTTTCTGAATCCAATTAAATAAAAAAAAGTCGTTCGGTATTCGCTTTTTTAATTATTTAGCTTGCTATTTTCCGGAATATGAGTCGCCCATTAAAAAAATAATATTTTGCAAAAAATATCCCCTTTCTCAAATCATGGCAAATAATTTTAAATAAAGACAATATAAAATATATTTAAATTATATAACTCACCTTTTGATTTTAAAATTCTAAATTAAATCCGGAATATTTTTTGTTCAATAATCGGTGTAGAACCAATTAGTTGATTATTTTTCGCACAAGATAGTAAGAAAAGTATTGACTGTTCTGTGCATATCGTCCTGTAGGCCTACTGTGTCTCATCAAGTCCAAGTATTCAACAAGTCAAAGTTATAAGTAGAAATGACTTCAAAAGCTGGAAAGCGTCTGCTATTATGGTGGCTGTACAATGATAATGTGAACGGCTGGAGTAGGGGGGCTTTTTGATAGCCCGAGTCGATCGGCGCCAACGCAACACGACCAACTTGGATAAGAAAACATCGTGATAACCCAGTCTACGAATCCCACTGTAGTTAACAAGGAGACGCGATAATTGAGTCTAGGGTTGTAAAATGATTGGGTGGCGGCCAGAAGTCGGTTTGTCGTCTGCTAGGTGAGTGTGGCGGGAGATGGCAGACGTACAGTGGTAGTTATTTGACGTTGGTTATAAATTCAACAATATTCGTGTCCTTCCACGTTGTTTGCCAACGATTTACTTCAAGCCGAAAGACTGGGCTAAGTACAACTTTAAGAAAAGGAATAGCCCATGCGTAGCTTAAGCGATCAACTCATATAATTGCAAAAACATTTATAACAAACTAAATTCTAGCATAAAATGAAATGATATGGGGTTTAACGTCATCTGGTCTGGACCGACTGGGCTGATGAAGACGGGCATAAGCCATACAGTGTTCTATGTGGAAAATTCTGCGTCAGGGCCTACTCTTATTTCAAATTCCAACTGCCCAGTGTTCTTTTACGTGCACACTAATGTGTACATGTGGGCTCCGATTTTCGTCCCATCTGAACGACTAGACACTGTCAAATTCTGGCATACTACAATAATTGTCTGCTACAGTTGCCAAAAATATAAAATAATGATAAGCCTCACGTCTAAAGACTCTGTAGATATTTTAAAGAAAGAATTCAAACGTTATGCCATCGATTCTTGGTGTCCATGTTTCCTCGACCATCTTCTTAAATTTAACAAATCATTTTACCACTTCGTCTCTCAGATAATGAAGTCGGGGTGGGATGGGGTGGGATGGGGTGGGGGGCGCAAAGATAAATAAATCGAAGGACGAAACGCTTAGACTGGGGGAAAACGGTGGTCGGACGTTTCGTGATCTAAATTTCACAAATTACGGGTTGATTTTTAGCAATGCCTAGGCCTATCTTCGTTTTAAAGCTAACGCCAAAGCAGATTAAATTATTCTTTTATTGTCGTTGCACAATAAATGCCTAAATTCCAATATAGCGTGGTCGGATGTTTCAGACACGGAATGTACTTGATCTAAATTTCACAAATAACAGGGTTGATTTTTAACAATGATTTTTAAAGCACACGTCAAATCAAATTGAATTATTCTTGTATGTCATTGCACTATCAATTCCTAAATTCCTAGCGTGGCTCTTGTTTTCAGACAGTTCATTTCAAACGGGTAATTTGTAGTTTAATTTTTATTTTAAACGCATTTTATTGCAGAAAATCTTAAAATAAAACGAAATCCATCATTTATGTCAATCGTTAAAACGAAAGTTATTTTCTGCCGACTTTTCGACTACCTAGTTTTAATAGGTACAAACTGGTGCTAATAAATTAAGTGAAATGGGGTTTAACGTCCTTTTTAAACAAAGCGGGAGAATTTCGCATACTTATCTTTCAATTCCAACTTCTACGTACGTGTGCGTCAGTTTGTACACGGGGCCTCAGGTTTTCGTTCCAATACTAACTATCCGGCGCTTTGTCTTGCAAGGCTCTCTTTGGCCGGCGCCACCGACAATGGGAAATGAAATGAAATGGGGTTTAAGGTCCTACTGGGTTAATGAAGACGGGCATACGCCATACAGTGTGCTAGAAGAAAATTTTGCCCGGGCAGCGGCACTATGGCCTACTCTTATATCGAATGGAACCGCGCTGTTGACCGCCCCCTTCCACTCCCGGGTTAAAGGGCCATCGTCGTACTCACTATCCCACCGTGGCTCCTTTGTGCTGACAAGAGATTAGGGTTTGCTCTATAAAGATCCGTGACCGAAACGTCATACAGGCATACGAATCAACCTCACCCATTTCAATGCCTGTATGCGATTGTAAAAATTTGCATTTTAAAATAGGATTGGGTAATTAATGATAACCCGTGAACATGGCTGTCAGAATAGTTGAAATCTCTGTGTATAATTTAAGCGCTACAGAATCCAAGGGGGGGGGGGCTGAATGGCTAGTACGTGCGCGCTATATCATACAGTCTGTCATTGTGTCAACTGGCGTGGTTTCAATTCCCCGGTTGTACGTGACAAGCAGTAGGGTCGCCTAATTTTAACCAACCCCGTGGGTTTTCTCCGGGTCCTCCGGTTTCCCCCCCTACGCGCAAGCGAATTATTGAAATAAAATTAAAACCATACGTTAGTCCCGAAATGACCTAGTTTGTGTCGAGTGGACGTTAAACCCCATCTCTCTCTCTCCCTCTCCCCCTCTCTCTCTCTCACAGAATTCATGCCGGGAGATTATTCTGCTTTAATTAAATATAAGTCAGTACAGAAAAGCAAGACGTAAAACCACATTTCATTTAATTTCTGTTAAATATTCACTCTGCTTACATATTAGCGTAAATTAGGCCGTGATATTTCCAAATAAAATGCAAATCACGCACAATTACTTTTGTCATATTTTGTCTATAGTACACGTCAACGCTACACTATCCTGAGACAAAACCCCGGGCGTTTTTTAAACCCTCATATATATGGCCGTCTATGTATGTTACTTGTTTCCTACGCTACCTTCAATACTTCAAACAGCACGCTATAGAAAGTAGTAGACTGTTATCTTGCTGGATACCTGGTAACCAAAACAACAACCGACAAAACTTATAACTCTTCAACTTGAATCTAGAGAGATAGATGCTAACTTGTGAATTACAGGCAGACAGAGACAGGCTAATTATCTCATTAAACTTAATTACAAAAATGATTAGGGCAAATCAAAGGAATGACGGATGAAATTAATGACCGCGTGAGGGCGTGAAAAGCCGTCGAGGGGGTTGACGCCACGAGCTAGGGGGTAGACGAAATCAGATCTATTAGTCGCAGCCATCCAGGCAGTAGTCGCGTTCTATAAGTATTTTATTAGTGTACATTTACTTTGAATGTAGGAGTATAAAAGCATTAGTTATTAGCTATGATCTTGCGAGAAGTGAAAAGCAAGAGACTTTAAGAGAGAGAGAGAGAGAGAGAGAGAGAGAGAGAGGGAGGGTTTAACGTCCACTCGACACAAACGAGTACATTTCGGGACCAATAATATGTTTTAATTTTATTTCAATAATTCACTTGCGCGTAGTTGTCTTTCGCAGTGAGAGGAAACCGGAGGAACCGGTGAAAACCCACGAGGTTGGACAGGCGATCCTACTCCTTGTCACGTACAACTGGGAAATCGAAACCAGGCCAGTTGACTCAATGACAGACCATTCAGCCATTCAACCCTCTAGACTTTCATGGGTCTTGCCACAAACCGCCATTTGATTCTGCCGGATAATATCTATGTTTAACGGCTTAATCCACGCCAAAATCATTGACCATTAAACATTAAGTTAAACATATATTATGACGTCACATTCATAATGACGTCATTGTATTAATCATATTAAACATACATTATGCAAGAGCTAAATCTGCCTATTGTAGGTCTTTCTTTAGACCTGAAATGTTATATAAACTATTAAACATGCATTATGCAAGAGCTAAATCTGCTTATTGAAGGTCTTTCTTTAGGTCTGAAATGTTATCCAAATTATTAATTAGACATTAATTAACCTATCCAGACTATAATCAACTCTCGATGGCATCGCTAGCCTGTGATATTTATTGGATTAGGTTCCGATTTGCTGTTCGACTTCCATTCATAATTTAATCATGACATCGATAATCGAGACTATGCTTTTTATCCTACCGACTTTAGTAATGATGATCGAGGCTAGGACGTAAATTCAATCGCTAAAATCTCGGTTCAGGGTGGATCAATTTGACTGAAATTTTCAGCAAATTCCCTTTACATTATCTAGATTTTAACTATTATCATGAGAACTGTCAGCTCTTTATCTAATCTTCTATAATGTTTCTTTGAGGAAAGATAACCCAAAATGTCAACGGATGATAATCTCTAGGCCTGGATGCAATCGGAATTTAAAGGAGGCCCTTCAAAAGATCGGTGAAACTGCCTTGTTTATTTCTTCTGCAGACCTTTGATATGAAATGATATGAAATGGGATTTAACGCCAGACTGGGCTAATGAAGACGGACAAACGCCATACATTAAGCCATGAGGGAACTTTTGCCCGGACAGCAGCACCATGGCCTGCTCTTATATCGAATTCCAACTGCCAAGGGGTCTTCAACGTGCATATCAATGTTTACACGGGACCCAGGTCTTCCGTCCCACCCGAACGACTAGCAGATCTATGAAGGGAACTGAACAGAACTGAACCCTTTCTGGGCCGATCTATCTGTTGGCTGAGATCGTTTCTTGGGATTGTCCGGGGTTGTCTCCACTTAACACAAACTAGGTCATTTTGGAACTAACATATGGTTCAACTTTATTTCAATAATTTGCTTGCGCGTATGGGGTCTTTAGCAGTGGGAGGAAACCGGGGGGGGGGGGGCTGAAGAAAACCCACGAGGTTGGACAGGCGATCCTGAAGGCTAGAAAAGATATAGCGTATAGTTGTTGTTCGGATGACACGTGTATACGTTGCTATGCATCTGAAACAGCCCTAGACAGTTGGAATTTGAAATAAGAGTAGGAGCTAGTGCACACTGAATGGAGCATGTCCATCTTCATTAGTCCGGTAGGTGCCGAACAGTAGGCTGTTAAACTCAATTCAATATCATCCAGTCTTCGACATTAAAAATCTTAAAGTAGCTAAATCTCTAATTCAATATCACCCAAAGTCTTCGACATTGAATATCACAATTTTTTTGTCAATTTAAATCAACATTGATGTTGTTATCTTACCGGGAAAAGATGGATAGCCAATATTTAAGACAACATAAACATTTTACAAATGGTATACAAATCGTCATTTGTAACAAGGGACTAGAAGAACGAGGCTATACATATCCCAAAAGTCATGTCAAACGGTGGCGCCATATTATTATTCTTATCTGAAAAGCATGCGCAATAAATACTACCGATGTAGACTGGAATAACCAGATGCTAGAGGTTGTCATTCGATTGAGACTTCTTGCGTA